TTTCTTAAATGGGGATTTGAATGAAGAAATCTACATGGAGCAACCTGAAGGGTTTTCAGCTCCAGGGAAAAGCAAGAAAGTCTGTAAACTTGTCAAATATTTGTATGGTTTGAAGCAAGCACCTAAACAACGGCATGAGAAGTTTGACAACGTAATGTTGTCAAATGGGTTTAGAATCAACGAATGTGACAAGTGTATTTATGTCAAAGACACTGACAGAGGTTATGTCATTTTGTGTCTATATGTTGATGATATGCTCATTACAGGTAGTAACGATGATATGATCAAAACTACCAAGAAGTTGTTAAACTCTAAGTTTGACATGAAGGATATGGGCATTGCAGATGTTATTCTGGGAATTAAGATTACTAGAATCTCTGGCGGAATTGTACTATCTCAGTCTCATTATGTTGATAAGATACTTGAGAAGTTTAGTGGATCAGATACGAGTGTGTCATTGACACCTGTAGACTTAAGTCTACATTTTACCAAGAATAATAAAGAAAATGTCTCTCAGTTAGAATATTCTCGAGTAATTGGAAGTTTAATGTATCTGATGAGTTGTACTAGGCCAGATATAGCTTACTCAGTTAGCAGGCTTAGTAGATACACAAGTAATCCCGATGCTTCTCATTGGAAGGGCATTGTGCGGGTGTTAAGGTATTTACGCTACACTCAAGATTATGGGCTGCATTATACTCGATATCCAGCAGTGCTTGAAGGCTATAGTGATGCAAATTGGATATTAGATATAAAAGACTCAAAGTCCACTAGTGGATATGTGTTCACTCTTGGTGGGGCAGTCGTGTCTTGGAAATCTTCTAAGCAAACGTGTATATCTAGATCAACGATGGAATCAGAGTTTATTTAGATAAAGCAACAGAAGAAACTGAATGGCTACGCCATTTCTTTGAAGATATTCCACGTTGGTCTAAACCTGTGTCAGCTATTTGTATTCATTGTGATAGTCAATCTGCAATTGGTAAGGCACAGAGTAATATGTATAATGGAAAGTCTAGACATATCCGTCGTAGACATAATTCCATATGATAACTACTCTCGAATGAAGTTGTCTCTTTAGAATTTGTAAAGTCTAAGGACAACATTGCGGATCCGCTAACCAAAGGGTTAAATCGAGTGTTAGTCGAAACGTCGTCAAAAGGAATGGGGTTAAGGCCTTTGGAAGTTACCGGAATGGAAACCCAACCTAGTTGACTGCAGATCCCAAGATCTAGGTTCAATGGGACAACCTAATTGCGTGTAACGGTGGTATGTCACTGAGGAGGTTAAACCTCCAGCCATTCCTTCTATCAGTGATACCTACAACTGTAGAGGTTAAGCTGAGCTTTTAATGACTCTAGTGTGTTAAGATGTTGAGCTGAGTATAGCAGGATACTCAAGTAGAGTCACCTATGTGAGTTTGAAGTGGGGCCGCTTCTAGAAGAATTGGGCAGGCCAAGATTCTTTGAAACCACTCGCTAAACCAAGCTAGTGCCCAGGGCCACACAGGGCACACCAGTGAGAACGGAATGGCGGTAGGAGTAATTCCCGTGTGAGATCTATTGTCTCAGTTTACATAAACGGCAAAGCAGTTTAAGATGTCTTATTCACTGATCAGCCAGTAAACTCGATAGGTTTTCACTGGGAGAGGTTCAAAGCCAAAAGCTACCTTCTCTGATGTCGGGGTTAGTTTGTTGCACTCTCTCTTCGAGTCATTATTGTTGAACGATGTCCATTTGTTGAGTCTTTCGGTCAATTTTTATTCATGTGGGGGATTGTTGGAAAAAATAGTTTTTTGGTGACTTTAATTAAATATTAAAGTGGGTCTCAACCATCTATTGTATTGGGTCCAAGTGGGTTTAGATACTTTGCAATGAGATCTTTACACCACAAATAGTAGAGCCAAAACCATTGAAAAGTGAATGAGAAATTGCTCCATGAAATTAGCTTCATGAAAAAGTTAATGGGGTTTGTAACTTCTGCCTTTATTGCAGAGTTTAATAGTGCATTAATGGGGTTTGTAACTCCGGCCTTTTTTGCAAAGTTTAATAGTGCATTAATGGGGTTTGTAACACCTGCCTTTATTGCAGAGGTTAATGGTGCATTAGTGACTAGCCATAAAGGCTGGAGGCTTCTCCTCTCTCCCCTATACATGTATAAATTGAGACCCTCCTGTCAAGTCTCCAACACAGAAATTGTTTCTTCCATTCTTTAGTCAGCTTGCCAGAAAGTTCTTACTGTGAGAGAGTGTTGCCACTGTTTTTGTTCGCTAAGCTAGACAGAGAGTGCTTCTGCCGTAGCTGGTTTTTGACCGTCGTATCCTGGGAGACAGACACCGGGATTCCTCAAGCACTCGACCCGTGAGGCGGCAAAATCTGTTTTAAGGAAACTGCTACAGTGCAGGCTTCGGTTTGGTTTCTTTATCATTTTATTGTTTTGTGTATTTTTGTTGAAATTTAGTTGTAATTATCAGTATATGTTTTTGGTATATAATTTTGATTTCTTCATAAATCTATTTAATTAATTTCACAATTTGAACAACAAAAAATTCAACAGTTGATCTTCATTTGCAAGTATACTTCCAAACGTCATCAAAATCCAATCTGTAAAGAAAATAGACAAAGAAAACATTAATATATTATCAATTACATCTAAACTCATATATAAATAATTTTATTTTATAAACCAATTTAGTAGAAATGCATCTAACAAATCAGAACTTCAAATCCTTGATGATAAAGCAACACGGATAACATAAGATGCCAAAAAATTGCAAGAATACCATATATCACTATCACTAATGGCAGAATATATATATATAATAGCTCCAAAATATAACGTAGCATTGTGGTACATTTGATTCACGACAATGGGTTTTTCATGCATGTTGGGTTCTAATCTTTGAAAACAACCACCAAATCTAATTCTCTCTCACAAGTTAAAAATCAACAATCAAACTTTTGCATGCCAATCATAATAAATCATAGTCAAAAAATAAAATATGCATATTTTTCTTAATGTGTAAAGTGGTCTTTCTTATAAAGCAAAAGCCTCTTAACAATTGATCCAACAAAAATCTCTGACTTCTCAGATCATATTAATAGCTTTTCTGCACAATGTGTCAACCATAAAATTCCCTTAGCTCTTATTTACATTGTTCGAAACAAGTGATCAATATATTGCACCAAAAGCAACAATTCATGCAAGAGTAATTACAAAATTTCTACAAAAATAGGTGTATCTTCACAAAAAATTCAAAACACATATTTCATTTAGTTTAAAAAAAAAAAAAAAAAAAAAAAAAAAAAAAAAAAAAAAAAAACAATTTTTTATAACACAAGAACCTTATAAGACAACACAAGAACCTTATAAGACAACACAAGAACCTTATAAGACAACACAAGAACCTTATAAGACAACACAAGAACCTTATAAGACAACACAAGAACCTTATAAGACAACACAAGAACCTTATAAGACAACACAAGAACCTTATAAGATAACACAAGAACCTTGTAAGGCTTTTGGGTTGTACCATTGAAGCCCCTCAATGCCTTCTTGTTTATGAATTTGTACCCAACAAAAGCATTGATCAAATCGTCTTTGGTAAGGAATCATTGTGATTTTTTATTTTTTATTTATAAACATGCTCATGATTTTTTCGACTCTTTGGTTTTTAATTTTGGCTGCTTTTGGCTAATATTATTTATATATTTCTTTGTATACATTTTAAAGAACAGGAATCTTACACAAATGAGGTGCAAATAAATTTATCTGAGGCAAAATGACAACAGCAAGTCCTGGAAACTAAATTACAAAGATTAGTTCTTTTCTAATAGAGTGGCTCCTAACAGGGAGTTGAATTCTGCACCTCCCTTTTTGTGGGTGTCACGATATGCAACTCAAGCTAACACCAAGTAAAAATAAAGTTTGCTAAATATTCCTCATTTGCTTCTTATATAGTCCAATAGAGCACAATGAAGACAATATATGATTGGTTGGCTAACACGAATTCAATGTTTGTGTCAAATAACAAGGACAGCACCACTAAGAGGGAGAAGTTGAAGCCTCAAGAACAAGAGATAGACCAACAGATATGAATGTAAGTTGTGAGACAGCACATGATCTCAAGAAAAGACTTCTTTACACAGGACAAAGTGGTTGAAATGTGGCTTCACTAAGTTGAGTATAGGGAAAACCTTCAAATGGATCAATCTATTTAAAGTCCTTATTATGCTAAACCATCCTAATGATATATACAAAACAATAGCAATCATAAAGTGATATACAAACTTGACCAACCCACTGAGACTCAATAAATGTTCCTTCATTTCGTCTACAGAGAAAAACTCAATCAAAGACACCCATTATTAATCACATCACTAACTTAGAGCAACTCCAACACTGCCTAGCAAAAATACACAAAAAAGTAAACACATAGTCTTGTCTCTACTTTGGTTAGTGTGTATTTTAACTAGGGTCATGCTAAGTAAGAATTTTGATAATGAATCTATTTTCATTAAATGCATCTTCAAACTTGTTACATCTTAGTTAATAAGTAGTCAAACTATTGTACTTTAACTAATATATACTAACCAACATAAGAAAAATAAAAAAGATAAAACAAGCGAGACTTACCAAAACGGCGATGTGCGAGTTCATGGGATACCTCCTCCTCTAAATTGTCCTTTGAAACCTTGCTTCTTAAGAAACTCCATTATGCTTGATGTTATCTCCAAATGCTCCTCAAGCGACTCCAAAAAAGACAATACGGCAGTCCAAATAGATTCTAACAATTAGTTTTTAGGTACACCAACATAAATTTTAACCAAGGTGATTCATTGCTTAATAAAACACTCTGAATTCATGTTTCTAGTAGTACTAATGAAATTACTACCATCTGGAACAAAGGAATGCTACTCCCCTCTATCTTCCATAATCAGAGCAGATATAGACTAGAGGCTATACGGAATGAGTCTTGAACTATTTTTGTGACTGAATTTCCTCTTTTTGTGACTGAATTTGCTCCTTTTGCTCTTGTATTTCCATCTGTAGACGCCTCACATAGTCACTGTCAGTCGAAGCACTGGTAGTCCTGACAGAGAAGGAACGCCTCAACCCGAGTCCTTTAACATATCCCGACCTTGGCTTTAGCACCTTCACAGATAGCTCCTCCGGAGTAATTGGAACCACACCAGGTCGGGAGCAATGTTCAGCTTGGATCTTTATCATATTATCCTGTCATTTAAAAAAAAAAATTAGAAAAATGAATAAAGATACACTTAAAATTGCAATCATCCTAATACAGAAGGTAAATATACATACATAATTCTCTTCGCACTCCGGAGAAATCCACTGCTTTGTGACATCATTAAAGTGTGTAGATTTGTAAACACATGGCAACTCTGGCAGTTGGCCCCAATTTGCAATTGTCTGATTTTTTTTGTTCAACTAGTAAGTTAAATAAGAATGATGGTAGTAGAATCATCTTTAAAAAAAAAAACTGAAAAAAAAATTAAAGATGACCCACCGCCTCGTGTACCCTAACTGGGAGAGATTTTGACCCACACCTATGCTTCGTCTTCAATTGATTTCTATTGTCAATGTTAGCATTTGATTGCTTCTACAAGGAGGAAGTTCCAATACAAAAATATATATATTAGGAAGACAAGGTAATTGTCAACAATAAATAAACATAAGAAAAGACAAACAACCGTAAATCCAGCGACAAAAAGAAAAACAACCGTAAATCCAGGTCCTATAATAATTTCAAATAGAAATTACGGAATATACAATAAGACGCCTACTATTTACTGAAACAATTAGCATCTATATCAATTTTTGGGTGTTTGAAGAGGCATGGTGTCACTAATTAGTAATTTCCCATGAAATAAACTTGCCAGTGTCACCCCAGAAAGTAATTGAGATGTAATGACACATCAAAAAGTTTCTACATAATTGAGATGGAAAGTGAGGTTTTGAATAACTGACCATATTCTGCAACTTGTGATATATGCCCGTAATATCTTTCTTTTTCCACTCCTCGAGATCAAAAAAGTTCATCCCATATGCCCACCCACAAGCGTTTGGATCAAAGTTTCTTGCAATATGTGGGTTTGAAAAGTTAAGATACTTGTCGAAACGGTGAAAGCTCTCACCACAGGTTTCCACTGCACCGTTCACTTTTCCACGGAGATCCACCGACCACAATCCTGTCAAGTCCTTCTGGACAACGATATCATCATCAAGAAACAGGATTTTATCCAACTTGGGATAAACCTGTGGGAGATAAAACCTGAGGTGGTTGAGCATTGAAAGATATTTTGGGTTCCTGTACTTCAGATTAGAAGAGCCAGCAGTGGAATGATCTGCCTTGAAATAGTACTCCTTCATGGCAGAAGACTCTAGCTGCCTCAGAACTGGGCAGTACGAGGAGTTGAGCCACTTAAATTCATCAACATTTTCAACATGGATGGTAGCTTTTCCAGGCGGGTTCAACAGAAACCACATGTTCATAGCTCCAAAGTTCAGTTTATCAGTAACAAGATGAAACACATGTTTCTCTGGCTCCTGCAACACAGCCAAATGGCATATTTAGGTTAGAGAAGGAAAACAAGAAGCAAAATTTGCATCAGAACCTGAATCCTAAATCATGAGTTTCAATCACTATATCAAGACATATGGACCATATTCAATGGTGAAAGATCAACCAAAAGGGGGCACCCACTCCAAGAATGTCAACGCCAACAAAATCTATGATCTGAAGCAACTTCAAAGAAAATGATTAAAAAATGTTCCCCATCATTTTTTAAAAAAATTCAACGACAGTGCAAATAATCCAAACCATTGCAACTCTTTTTTGCATGCATATATCTATATAAGACCAATTTATTGTCAAGAGTTTATTAAGTTTACCAGAATACGCTATAGCTCGAATGCTTCAGGAAGCAGACCCTATTTATTGTGCAGATGCAAAAACATGTCAATCTCTGCAAGTTTTACAGGTGATTTTAGATTCAATAATTGTAATGGCCAAATAATAATAATAAATAATAAGTTTGAGTGGGTAATTTATATATAAATTGGGCCGAGCTAGGTAATGGGCCATTCTGTGGGCCACGGTAAGAAGGGCTGAGTAAAAGGGCCTTGTAATTAGTCCGGTCCAGAAGAGCCTTGCAGATAGTCTGGTCCAAAGGAGCTTGGTGGTTAGCTCAGTCACCACGGTCGGCGCGGTGACAGTTAGCTCGGTCATACTATATTGGGCCGATGTATGTTAAGCTTTCCTCATAACCTTGTTATTGGTTAGCTCGGTCCAAGCTCGATGTGATTAGTCCGGTCTCAGACAACACAGTTGGAATATGTCAAACCGAGGTACACGCAGTGAAAGGAAGAACCGAGCTAGTAGGAGCTCGGTCTAGTCTGCGGCTTTAGCATGGCCATGTTATCTCGGTCGTATTGACATCCAACTGTGGTTGAACCATCTCACTTGGTTTAAGCAGTGAAGGGGGTGTTGAAGGATAAGCATTATCTTTTAGGAAGGTGATTCCTAGAAGGACTCTACATGAAGGAGTAAGAGTCCTACTTGGATTGTGCACACGAAACCTATAAAAGCTCACAACATCACCTGTGGAGAGGTAACACAACTTTGATTCCCGAATATACGGAGCTTTTTTGTCTATTTGTCTATTCTCCTAACTTAGGCATTGGACAGGTATCCGGCACACACCCACCGGGTAGCTCACGTTTGTATTTTCAGAAAGTAAAGTGACGTCATACGGAGGAGCGCAGACTTGATCAACGGGATTATACGAGAAGGTTTATTTCTTTCTCGTACAATTGGCGCCGTCTGTGGGAAAATCAGACAAAGAACAAAACCTCTTGATCAAGTTTCCCTCGCTAGTTGAATGGCGCACAACGAAGATTAGCGGCAGTCCGCCATCGACGGACAAACCCTAGAGGGGGGTGGGAGGCGCGAAGGATTGCCCTCTATCCCTCCCATGGCGGACTTAGAGCCCGGCCGACAGAATCCCCGGAGGGATGCAAGGGGGAGGCGGAACAACAGCCCCCGTCGCTCTCGCTCACAAAGTCCTGAAAGGCAAAGGCGAATAATCGACCCTCAAACTCTGGAGGATCGAGTTAAAGAGCAAGATGAACTAATAAGGATGATGGCAGCGGACATGGAGGCCATGAAGGGCCAGATCAAGGGAAAAGGTGTGGCGACAGGAGAGGGGCGTAAAGGCAATACGCCTCCTCGCCACTCAGAAGATCGTGGTAGGCATACCACGCCATCGCAAGCAAAGAGTAAAAGCCTCAGGACAGGCGACACTCAATCAAGGACTTCCAGAACTCGTTACTCCAGGTCTGAGAGAACGAGATCATTGAGGTCTTACACTAAGGGAAGTACCTATCGGCCCTCACATACGCACCAGACATCATCCAGGCAAACGGAGTTGCCTAGATCATCCGACTTACGGACTGTGCTTGAAGAAAGGGCACGGCGAAAGAAGGATGCCAGGGCACGCGACCCGCACAAAATTTCAGTCCTTCAGCGGTTGGCTCCTCGGATGCACGGAAGTGTCGAGGTAGGAATGCCAATACCGCACTTTGCCTACGAACCAACAGATAAAGCATTGGCCAGGCTACATAGCTCGTCGTTCATTCCAGTGATTGAGAACGCACCATTACCTTCAAGCTTCATCCAGCCTAAGTTTACGACATATGAGGGGAAGACAGACCCTTACATACACCTAAGCCACTTTCGCCAGGTCATGGCAGTATACCGGCGGAACGAGGCTTTGATGTGCATCCTATTCCTATCCAGCCTTGGCGACCTAGGTTTAACCTGGTTCGAAAGGCTACCAGAAGGCAGCATAGCCTCCTGGGCACAATTGGCAGAGGCGTTCGTGACAAGGTTTAAAACGAACACCAAGACGCCGATAGAAATTGATTAGCTACTCTCCATTGACATGGGTGACAAAGAGACGTTGAGATCCTACAACAGTCGTTATTGGGAGACCTTCAACCAGATAGGAGATTGTCCCACAAATCTCGCCATCACACAATATAAAAGAGGACTTCCAGTCGGAAACAGACTGAGGGACTCAATTACTATGACACCTCCCCTCACAATGGAAGCCTTAATGGAGAGGGTTCACCAGCACATTCGGGTAGAAGAGGATGGCGCCCGTGCTAAAACAAAATCTGTTACAACCACAATACCAGATAAGAAGACTTCAGCAAAAGTCAACACGGTAGAACGTCCAAGCAAGAATGGACAAGACAGGCGAGACAACGAAGAGGACCTAGATAAAAGATGGTTGAGAGTCCGCATTGCCATTACCACAGTATTCAAGAAACCAATCTACCGAGTTCTCAGTGAGATACGTGATGAACCTTTCGTCAGATGGCCAGCTAAATTGGGAGATGCACAGAAGGATTACGATGAAAGATCTCGGTACACCTTCTATAAGGAAAAGGGGCACCGCACTAAAAATTGCACGCCGTTGAGACAACATCTGGAGGAGTTAGTGGCAGCAGGTCACCTGGACCGGTTCATAGAATGAGGGACGCAGCCAGCCCCCCAAAACCACGAACATCCAGACGGAACACCGATTGATGACCCACCTCAAGGCGTGATAAACGTAATACATGGGGTATTCGAGCCTGAGCGAGTATGTGAACTCAGAGGAATGATAAAGAAGGCTGAGCATTTAAGGGAAGTATTAAGTGCGCTGCCCATCATCAAAAAGGGGAAAATAGAGACCACAAATGTCACGTCTTTTTCAGACAAAGACTTGGCAAGGATTTATTGCCCTCACAATGATGCACTGGTCGTCACTCTCCGCATCAAGGATTACGACGTCAAGCGAATTTTGATAATGTACTACGAAACTTTCAAACAGTTGAAGCTGGAGGACAAAGACTTGGCACCTGTCGTATCTCCCCTGATCGGATTCAACTCAATGCCAGAATGGCCAGTTGGCAAGATTATCCTCCCGGTTAGAGCTGGAAGCATGACGAAACAAGTGGAATTCTGGGTATTGAAAGTCCCTTCCACTTACAAAATAATCTTGGGAAGGACATGGCTGCACGCCATGCGATCGGTAGCGTCAACCTACCATTAAGTAATGCAGTTCCCCAACGAAGCCGGAGTAATTGAAGAGGTCTATGGAGACCAAATTATGTCAAAGTAATGCTTTGTCACAGTAAATGGCAGCCGAGCTGCCAAAGGGTTTGTTCAGATGGTGGAAGAACCTGAGAGCAATGAATTGTTTGCGGATGTTGGCAAAGCCGCTGAACAGATGGCAGTGGAAGACTTGGTATAAGTAAAAATAGATGAAAAGAACCCGGATAAGTTCTTTTTGCTTGGCTCATCTATGTCCAGCACTGAGAGAATAGAGGTCATGGAATTCTTGACCTCTAGCATCGAATTGTTTGCTTGGACGCCGTATGACATGCCTGGCATTGACCCAAGCTTCGTCTGTCACCAATTGAATGTCCACCCAACTGCCAGACCAGTTATACAGCGCTCTCACAGATCGGCACTCCACCATGCCGAGATAGTGGCAGAAGAAGTAGAAAACCTGCTAGAAGCAGGAGCTATCAGAGAGGTGCACTACCCTAGATGGATCTCCAAT